GGGAGGACGGGGAGGAGGGGGAGGAAGGGGAGGACGGGGAGGACGGGGGAGGAAGGGGAGGACGGGGAGGAGGGGGAGGAAGGGGAGGACGGGGAGGAGGGGGAGGAGAGTGCGTTGGAGGAGGCAGTGAGGGTGGTGGAGGAGATTAGGGCGACGCTGCTGGAGTGCCAGGTGCATGCCAAGTTCCATGCCATCTACCAGCTCTCCATGGTGCGATGCCATGCCATGCCATGCCATGCCATGCCATCATTGCCTTGCCATCCCATCCCTTTCATGCACTGTGCCCTCCCCCCACTTAAGTCGACTCAACAGCCAGGGCCACGCGAAATTCCATGCCATGCCTTTTACCGGTTCTCCATGGTGTTTCGTATCGTACCCTCCCCCTACCACATCTCCATTCATTCAATGTGTCCCCGTATCCCACCATCTCGAGTTTTGAGACGTCTCAAAATTCAATGTGTCCCCGTATCCCACCATCTCGAGTTTGAGACGTCTAAAAATTCAATGTTCCCCGTATCCCACCATCTCGAGTTTTGAGACGTCTAAAAATTCAATGTGTCCCCGTATCCCACCATCTCGCCCTCCTTCCACGCACTACCCTCCATGCATTGCCCCGCATGCGCTGCCACCCCACCAGGAGCCCATCCTCGTGTTTTCCAGCAGCATGGCGCTCATAGAGTGCAACGATGCAGCGGTGCGTCTGATGCGCTTCCGCAGCCGAGCGGACGCGCTGGCCAACTTCCGAGTGGCCAAGATGAGCCCTGAGTTCCAGCCCGACGGGCGGCGGTCAAGGGAGGCTATACTGGGGATGCATGGGCGCATGATAAGCGGGAGGTGGTTGGAGTTTGAGTGGTGTCATCTTACCGCTGATGGGCATCCCATCATGGTGCAGGTGGGCGGATGGACGGCTGTTGTGTACATTCGGTAGGTAGTATGACAGTAGGGCCCTTGAGGCGCAGTCGCCCTGGCCAACTTCCGGGTGGCCAAGATGAGCCCTGAATTTCAACCCGATGGGCGGCAGTTAAGGGAAGTGATGTTGGGCATGCACGGGAGGATGATGAGCAGCGAGGTGGTGGAGTTTGAGTGGTGCCACCTCACTGCTGACGGGCACCCCATCATGCTGCAGGTGGGTGGGTGGGTGGGTGGGTGGGTGGGTGGGTGGGTGGATGGCTCTTGCTGGCAAGCCACCATGGTGCGGCATTTGAGGCTGGAGTCCGGCCGACGGCTTCCACCTTAAAAGCTCCAACCGATGGGAGGCCGACCCAGGAGGCTTGTACTGGGGCAGGCCATGCATGGGAGGATGATGTGAAGGGTGTTTTGAGAATTGAAGGGTGTTATTGAGAATTCTCAAAAACACCCTCAGCGCCATGCATGGGAGGATGATGAGCAGCGATGCTCAAGGCAAGTGGATGCAAGCTACTCGTTTCATCGTGTGTTCTGTGTGCTGTGCGTGTGTGTGCATGCGAGTGACTTTTGAGTTGACTAAAAAATGCAAGTTACTCGTTTATTGTGTGTTCTGTGTGCGTGTGTGTGCATGCGTGCGTGCATGTACTCATGATTCTGTGTGTATCCGTTGTTCCACTCCACCCACCTGTAGGTGAAGGTGAAGCCATAGAGATCTTACTCTTGCAGGTTACGTGTTTGTTTTTCTTTTCCGGGCTTATCACAAACGTGTCCTTCACTCCACCCGTCCACCCACCCACCCACCCACCCACCCACCCACCCACAGGTGAAGGTGAAAATTGTCGAGATCGGCGGCGAGTCGTGCCTGCTAGCCGTGTGGCACGACCTCACCGAGTCCAAGCGCAAGGAGGAAGAGCTCCGAGCGGCCAAAGACGCGGCCGAGGCAAGGAGTGAGGCGAAGAACCGGTTCCTGGCGAACATGAGCCATGAGCTGCGCACCCCCATGAATGGCGTCATCGGCGTCGCCGAGCTGCTCCTCCGCACCCCCCTCACCCGCAGCAGCGCTCCTACGTGGATGTTATCTCTTCCTCGGGCACCGCGCTCATTCATATCATATCTGATGTGCTGGATATCACCAAGATTGAGGCGCATGCGCTCGTGCTGGATCATAACCCGTTTGATCTTCGGAGAACTCTCTCGCAGTGCCTTGCTGTTGTGCGCACCGCTGCTGACGGCAAGGGGCTCAGGTGGGGGGTGGTGGTCGGAAGCGATCTAGTGCGGTGGAGATGTTGGTGACACTCTGGTTGGTGCTTGAGTGGGCGTGCTGCATCATGTAGTGTGGTGTGCACCCTCCTCCGGCACCACACTCATCCATATTGATGTGCTGGATATTACCAAGATAGAGGCGCATGTGCTGGTGTTGGACCGGAATCCGTTTGATCTGAGGAGGACGCTGTCTCAGTGCCTTGCTGTTGTTCGCACTGCTGCTGACGGCAAGTGGCTTAAGGTGGGTTTGTTGATGAAAGGTAGGGAGGGTGCAGTGCAGTGGAGGTGCCAGCAGTACTGTCAGCGAAGCAGGTTTCGTGCTTTATCTTGTATGCATTGTAATCCTCCATCTTCTCTTATCTCCCTCACGTCTTCCCTTCCTCCCCTTGACTCCCTCCAGCTGCACAGCCGTGGGAGAGGGTGTGCCCGCCTGTGTGTTGGGAGATCAGTTCCGCGTGCGACAGATTCTGCTCAACCTGCTCTCCAACGCCATCAAGTTCACTGACAGGTCGGTTGCACGGTTGATGGGTGTGGTGCACAGTTTGCGGGAGAGTGTGGATGTGAGTGTGAGTGTGAGTGTGAGTGTGAGTGTGAGTGTGAGTGTGCGCAGATCCTGCTCAACCTGCTCTCCAACGCCATCAAGTTCACCGACAGGTGTGTCAGCCAGGGCTCCTGACAGGTCTATGTTCGCAGTGGTGGTGTGTGGTGATGAGGTGTGAGTGTGCGGTTGTGAAGGTTGTGGCCGATGAGTATAAGAGAGAGGTTGGCCGGGTATATGTGTGGTGGGTGACTGAGTATGAGTGGGTATGTGTGTGGTGGTGGGTGAGTGAGTGTTAGTGGGTATGTGTGTGGTGGTGGGTGGTGAGTGAGTGTTAGTGGGTATGGTGTGGTGGTGGGTGAGTGAGTATGAGTGGGTATGTGTGTGGTGGTGGGTGCCTGAGTGTTAGTGGGTATGTGTGTGGTGGTGGTGGTGTGTGGGTGGGACGTCTGCAGCAGTGAGAAGCCCTAAACCGGCTCTGTACCTGTTTCTTCCCCATCCTTCCCCTTACTGCGTGCGCCCTGCAGGGGAGAGGTGGAGGTGCAAGTATACCTGCAGAGCCGCCACACCTGGCGTCAGCGCTGCCAGCAAGCGAAGCTCCCCCAGCATCTCCAACTCAAGCTACTCACTGCTCTGCTGCTGCTCGCCCTCTCGCTGCTACTCCCAACCCTGCTGCTGCAAGCTTTGTTGAACCCCATTCAGAGAAGGGCGAGTCAAATAGCACACACGCACTAGAAGCAGATTCAGAGGCACATTCAGGAGAGGCACATTCACCAGAGGCACACCTGCCGATCGACGAATCTGGGCCGTCCAGAGCTGAGCCTGAGATCACCAACGGCCCTCTCACTGCCTCCGCCACCACTGCTGCTGCGTTGTCGGAAGGAGCAGCAGGGGCGGGGCACGAGCAAGCAGAAGGTGCACACGCCGAGGCCAAGAAGAGGCAGCAACGTTAGCAGCAGCACATGCAGCAGCCCAGGCAGCAGCAGCGTCCCGCACTCTTCCACAGCACACCAACCCACCAATGGCAGCCCATCACGCCCCACCACTGCACCCTCCGCTTCCCGGGTCGACTTTTGAGCTTCCAGCTCAGAAACCGTTTGCCAGCACAGCACACCCGCCACTGCACTCTCCTGTGGCACCCCCATCCGCACGTCACTCCGCCACCCACCTGAGCGCCCTGGCTGGGGAAGGGGCCTGTGAGGGGCCGCAAGAGGCTCTGCAGTTGGCATCGGTGGCCAAGGCTCCTCCTCCCCCCAAACGGGCTCGCATGGGCGAGTGCCATGGGGGTGGGCGTCGTGGTTGACTGCTGGGGGTAGGGAGGGCGGGGGGGGCATGAGGGGGAAGGGGGAGGCCGGAGGTTCAAAAGGGAGAACAGGGTGGGGGAGAGAGGGGCAGGGGGGGAGGAGGAGGAGCCGGCAGAGAGAGTGGGGTGCGTCACGCACGCCAAGCCTCGTGGAATGCTCCTGGGGCTGTGCTGGCTCGGGCCGACGCTGCTGCCGATGCCGTGGTGGTTGGGGGAGCTGTGTTGACTGGCTTGGGGGTTGGACGGGGGTGAGTGAGTGAGGGGAAGGGATGGCTGGAGGGACAGCTATAACAGTAGGGGGGCGCATGATCCATTCTGAAAAAGCCGTCGAAGCAGGAGGAACAAGGCAAGCAGGGAACAAGAGAAATAACAACAGCAGCAGGAGCACTAGCAGCAGCAACAGGAGAAGTGAGCAGGAAGGCAACACAAGGGACAGAGAGGAGAGAGGATGTGCCCGTGGGGATGAAGCAGAAGGACGTGCAAAGGCAGGGAGAGGCGGAAGATCCTGCCAGAGCAGCTGCTGCAGGAGGAGCATGCGTGTTAGCAGGAGGCGAAGCTACCCTTGATAGACCTGGACCCGAACAAAACGCCCTGCACTGCTCCCAGCACCTATCAGCGCTGGTGCAGCCTGCTTCTGAAGAAACACGAGGAGAGAGAGAGGAGCGGAGGAGGAGGAACAACCCGGAGAGGCAGGCGAGGCGAGGCGGCGGTGGTATGGGTGCGAATAGATGTGCGGACACGGGAGTAGGAATACCGGAGGATCAGCTGGGGCGGCTGTTCATGCCGTTCCGGCAGGTGGACGACTCATCGTGCCGCAAGCACGGCGGCACGGGCCTGGGTCTCTCCATCTGTCGCTCGCTCGCGGCGCTCATGGGGGGGTGCATCTCCGTCGCCTCCTCCCCCCCCACGCTCCACCTTCTCCCTCCACCTGCCCTTCACTCCTTCCTCTGCTCCCCCTGCGTGCAGCGGCCAGGAGGCGGATTTGAAGGTGGGGGAGGTGCGTCTCTGCCTGATGTGGTGGCGATGCCGTTAATGCCTGCTGATGACCCTCTTGTGCAGCAGCAGCAGCGGCAGAAGGAGGAGCGGCTGAGGCAGGAGCAGCAGAGGCGAGAGGTGGAGCAGGAGGAGGAAGAGGAGGAAAGAGAGTGGGAGGAGGGGCAGGAGGAGGAGGAGGAAACGCATTTCTACTTGGTGGTGGGGGGTGTGGGTGTAAGAGAGGGAGTAGGAGTGCGACTGGTACAAGGGGACCAGGGAAGGAGGAAGAAGAGGAGGGGAGTCGAGGGGATGGTGCTATTGCAGGTGGAGCAGGAGGAGGAGGAGAAGGAAGAGGAGGAGGTGAAGTGCAAGGGGGAGATGCAGCGGAGAAAGGGAGAGAGGGATGCCCCACGTGCAGGAGAGGCGGCTTGAGTGCGAGACAGGAGGTGACGAGCAGCAGACAGATGCAGAGCAGAAGCAGAGGATCCAGAGACTCGGCTGGTGTTTCTGGTAGTGCCCGTGGTGCCGCTGGTGCTGCTGCTGCAACTGCAACGGGTGCTGCTTCTGCTGGTGGCAGTGGATGTGAAGGTGGGAGTGGCGGGGAGGGAGGGCCGTTCGCGGGGCTGCGGTGCCTGGTGGTGGATGACAACGCGGTGAACCGCATGGTGGTGGTGCAGCTGCTGAGGAACCTGCGAGTCTCGTGTGACGTGGCAGAGAATGGGCACAAGGCCGTGGAGGCCTGCCGCTCCACCAACTACCACGCATCTTCATGGTGAGACAGGGTGATGGTCATCCTATACACTTAAACACCAACTACCACGTCATCTTCATGGTATGTCCGCGCTCTCATTAGCCATGCTCCATGTCATCTTCATGGTGAGACAGGGAGATGGTCATCCTATACAACTAAACACCAACTCCAACTACCACGTCATCTTCATGGTATGTGCACAATCTCATTATCCTTGCTACATGTCTTATCCACCAACTACATGTCATCGTGACTTCATGCGCTTCCTCGTCACACCTCATTTTGTGTTTCCTCCTGACCCGTGCTGCCACCCCTACAGGACTGCCAGGTGACAGTGATGGATGGCTTTCAAGCCACCACACACATTCGAGCGGTGCAAGCCCCCCTTTCATACCAGCTCACTGTCTTGTGTTTTTTTTCCTGCCTAACTCTTCCCTCCATCTGCTGCTGACCTGTGCTCGCGCCTACAGGACTGTCAGATGCCTGTGATGGACGGCTTTGAAGCCACCACACACATCCGACGGCTGCAAGCCACCCCTCACACCGCTGAAGCAGGAGGCGTTGGAGAAGCGAAGGCGGGTGAAGCAGTACAAGCAGACAAGGATGGCACAAGGATGGCTTCGCAGCAGCAGCAGTCTCGTTCAAAGGCGCGGCAGCGGTCGGCTATTTATGCGTTGACAGCGAGTGTGTTGAAGCACGAGAGGGACAAGTGTGCGCGTGCAGGGATGGATGGGTTCCTGGCCAAGCCCATCCGCATGAGAGACCTGCAGCAGGTGCTGCAAGAAGTGGTGGGTGGACGCACATAGCTACTTCATGGTCTGGTGACAATGTTCTCTGCAGCTCACCTTGTTTTGTCAAAATGTGCACAATGCTTTCAGTCACACTTTGATGTGCGTTTTTACGTGTTGGTTGCTCTAATGTAGTCCTGGCAACATGCTGCTTACACTGTTATCTGTAGTTTCCAGTAGTTCCAAGCTAGTGTTGGGGTTTGGAAATTCACAGGTCAGACTCAATGGCACTGTGTATGCTAGTATGTATAGAGCTTTAGTCAGGTACCTGTATCACAACTGCTGCCATACCATGTCAGCAACAGGCAAACCAAATATCATCAACCAAAACCCGAATCCCTCGCACCCGCTCTCTCCTCCTCCCCTTCCCCATCCCCATCCCCATCCCCACCCCAGCAGCCCCTCATTTCGCCTCCTCCTGAGCGGCAATGCTCTGTCGGCTCTCCTTCACGTCCCCAAACAGTCGGCGTCGGAAGTCCTCCACCATGAGGGGCAGGCCCTGCCGCAGCGCCACCTTGGGCTCCCAGCCCAGCAGCTCCTTTGCGCGTGTGATGTCTGGCTTGCGCTTGTGCGGATCGTCTGCCGTGTTCTCCTGAAAGGTTATGCTCGCCGTCTTGTCTATCACCTCCCTCACCACCTGGAGAGGGGGAAGACAGGGGAGACCAGGGGGTGGGGGGAAAGGGGAAGGATTGACAGAGAATAGGGTGAGAGCGGGAAACGAAGGGGCAAGGCTGGGCAAATGCGATCTCCTGAAAAGTGATGCTTGCTGTCTTGTCTATCACCTCCTGCACCACCTGCTTGCTGTCCTTTAGGATGGGTATGGGGTGGTAGTGGTAGCTAACTGAGGGATGCGAAGTCTCAGGGTGTGTGGGAATGGTGTAGAGTGGGGAAACGGTGAGGTGCGTGTACAGGGGAGGGTAAACTTCTATTCCGTGCAAGCGGCTGGGAGCAATGAGCTCAGCTTGAGCACTTGGAGCATGGTGAGCTCACCTCAAGTTCGACCATTGTGTGGTTTGCCCATACTGACAAACTATCTGGTTAAGCGAAATCCTGAGCTCACCTCAGCCAGTTCAAGCATGGTGAATTCGCCGGGGTTGCCAAGATTGAAGGGCCCCACGTGCTCCCCGTCCATGAGCCTCATGAGCCCCTCCACCAGGTCGCCTATGTACTGGAAGGATGGCGATCTCACCGTGGCCAGTTGGGGCGTAGTGATTTGTTAGAATCTTGAAGGCAATCATGCGCTCACCTCGGCCAACTCAAGCATGGTGAATTCGCCCGGGTTCCCAAGATTGAAGGGGCCGACGTGCTCCCCGTCCATGAGGCGCATGAGTCCCTCCACCAGGTCGTCTATGTACTGGAAGGAGCGCGTCTGCTTCCCATCGCCATACACCGTCATCGCCTCCTTGCGCAGCGCCTGGAGTGGGTGGTGGGGAAGTGGATGTGGGAGAAGAAGACAGTGTGTGGGTTCTGTTGCTGCACATGCACCTGTGGCTGTACCGACAGAGTCATCCCCTCCTTGCTTACAGCCAGAAGGCCTGCTCTGAGCGACCCACGCTCCCACGGACCCAGGCCATCAGCACCCAAGCACCTACCACCCACCTGAGCAACGAAGTTGCTGACAACGCGGCCATCATCAATGCACATGCGCGGGCCGTAAGTGTTGAAGATGCGCGCAATGCGCACATCCACCCCCGCCCCTCTGTGGTAGTCCATGGTCAGTGTCTCTGCCACTCGCTTGCCCTCATCATAGCAGCTGCGCACCCCTGCATGCATGCATAGGCCGACAGGTGCAGGAGCAGAGCACAGCAGGGAATGGGGATGGTGGGTGGGAGAAGGGGAAAGAGGGTCGTTGGATGGAAAAAGGGTGGGGGAGGGGAGGGGAGGGGGGAGAGAAGGAATGGGGAGAATTGGGAGATGAGATGACAATGTGGAAGCCCAATGGGAGCGCTGATGGGAGTGTGGATGGGTGAAGGAGCACCAGGGGAGTGACAGAAAGCGGGAAACGGGTACATGGAGAGGTGGATTCACAAACAAGGATATGATAGCATTTAAAGGTCACACCAGGACTCATCACTGTTGTAAGCCACTGAGCAACCACTGAGCCTCTTCAGGTAACAGCACTCACCGATGGGGTTGACGTTGCCCCAGTACTCCTCGGTCTGAGGGTGCTCCAGCGGCTCCCCATACACCTCACTGGTACTCGTCAGCAGGAAGCTTTTGAGCCGACTCTAAACTTACCTATGGACTTAAGAGTCAGACTCAAGAAGACTCACCAATGGGGTTGACGTTGCCCCAGTACTCCTCCGTCTGCGGGTGCTCCAGCGGATCTCCATACACCTCACTGGTGCTCGTCAGCAGAAACCTCGCCCCCACTCGCTTCGCCAGCCCCAGCATGTTCATAGTCCCGGCCACATTCGTCTTGATAGTCTTAATGGGATTATGCTTATAGTGAACGGGCGAGGCGGGGCAGGCGAGGTGGTAGATCTGGTCGACCTCGAGCAGCAGTCCTTCCACGACGTCGTGGCGGATGAGCTCGAAGCGCGGGTTGCCAAAGTGGTGCTGCACGTTCTCCTTGCGCCCCGTGAAGAAGTTGTCCACCACTATCACGTGGTCGCCCCGCTCCATCAACCTGTCCACCAGATGACTGCCCACAAAGCCAGCTCCGCCTGGTGCAATGGGGAGATGGGTGGGGTGGAGAGGGGTGCAGGGGAGAGGGGTGGGGTGGAGAGGGGTGCAGGGGAGAGGGGTGGAGTGAAGGAAAGGGGGCAGGGGAGAGAGGGGATACGAACGAAGTTGTCCACCACGATCACGTGGTCGCTGCACTCCATCAGCCTGTCCACCAGATGCGAGCCCACGAACCCCGCCCCGCCTGGCGTGTATGAGAGGAGTCGGGTGGAGGGGTGGAATATAGAGGACAAGAGGGGAGGGTAAAAGGAGGGGTAGAAAGTTAACCACCTCACTCACATGGTCGAAAATAGTGAGAAGAGGGAAGACACTGGGAAGATACGAAGACTGGGAAGATACGAAGACTGGGAAGAGCTGGTGAGATATTATTCTGGGAAGATGAGATGCTGGAGATATAAGGTCCAGCGGAGATAAGCAGTTAGAGAGATAAGATGCAGAAAAACACGATGTGGCCAGATGAATGGGATGGAGAGCAAAAGGATGAGCAAGGGAGGAGATGGAGAGCCAAGGGACGGAGGGGACGCAAGAGGCTGATAAATACAGTGCAGTTTATCCATGCGCTCAACAATCATTCTGTCCACAATCATTCCGTCCACAATCATTCCGTCCACAATCATTCCGTCCATAACAATTCCGTCCACGTATGATGGATACGTGCTGCACGTGTGGCAACTTGAAGCAAGTAGTACGAGGTGGGGCTTCCCCAACCCTTGTGGACTCTCTTTCACCCATGCCATAACCATTGAGTAATCATCTCAATTTCCACTTATTACTCTGGCTCCAAGTCCCGTCTTATCACTCCGGTTACGAGCAAAACTTATTAACCTCCTATTGGGCGTTTCGACCTCGAAAACCCCTCAACCATGGCCGCAATTCTCACCAGTAACGACGATTCGCAGCGGCGTGCGGCGAACCCCGAGGGGGATCTTCCCCATGAAGCGATGATCCGGCGTCTTCGGACGGTAGAGGCTCACCGCCGAGCTGATCAGGTACATCAGAGCAACGATTAACAGAGCAGAAACGATGGAAAACGACCAAGTACTCATAAATAACAGCAACGCAACGAGGAGGAACAGCGAGACGCGCATTAGGTTACGAGGAACCACGATCCGTCATGAGGTAGACAAGAGGAACGGAATTGACACGAAAAAAAAAACTGACGATTGAAGATACAATGCTCGACTAAGGCTTTGAAATTCGAAGGAAAGGAAATGGTAGGGCAGGAAGCTAGTGACACGCGTAAGGAATAGCTAAGAAGCTAGGAGATGGAAAACGCGTCGAAAGAATGCTCCAATAAAGCGGATGCGATCATTAATGCTAACCTCTGAACGCCAGAGAAGATCGCATGGCTGTCGCCAACGGTGGACGACCCGGTATCTAACGGCGACGGTCGCGGATAGCCAGCCGGCATGATCGTGAAGACGGCTGATGCTACGAGAAAGCCGACGAGGAGGTACGCCCCTTGGAAATGCTCGCCGAGCAGCTGGATGTACCACGGCCTGCTGCGACGACCGTGCGACTTGGACGGCGAACTGGGCGATAACGTAGGCGGTCTCCGCTCCATTTTGCCGGCAATTTCCGGCACTTAGAGTACTGATATTCTAAGGACGACAAGCGACAGCTGAACGGACGACAAGGGGAAGGTAAAGACCCTCGAAACCCGACGACCTAAAAGGGACGTCTGAGCCTAGGGCTGCCTGCAATTGCTGAATGCAATTGGGAAGAGCGAGTGTCAATTCTTTGTACATCAAAAACAGGAACAATGGAAGAAAATGGCACTGACTGGTGCTGCTGAGTCCCCCTGCGGTAGGCACACACACACACAGATACACCCCCCGAGCTGAAGGACCAAGCCGAAGCAAGATGCTGAGAGAATGACGACTGGTCCATCGCTACTCACTGACGAGCCTGAACCTTGGGGTGAGCGAGACGGGAAGACCACCACCAGTATCCCAGGGCAGACAAGAAACGGCGAATCCCGAACCGCAACCAAGGTTGTGGTAGTTGGTACGAAAGTGCGGTTACGATTGGCTGGGCGTCCCTCGCTGGGGGTACTGCAGGTCATTGGTCTGGTTCGAACGAACCTGCTCCGTGCTGATTCCAGGTGAAAAAGGTTCGGCTTGGCGCACGCACAGCGATCTTCGCCTCGACAGGCGGTAAAGGGAATTACACAGCCAATCACCAGCGCCCAGATGTCCTCACAACTAACAAACCTCGTTAGCCATGCATCGTTAAGCGCGAAAGCGGGCATACAGAATATACTTCGCTGTTGTACAGAGAAACAGGAAACGGGGTAAATGACGCATAAATCTCATCAATTTCAATGAACACCTAACAAAACAAAGTTCGACCTATGTGACCACCTAATAGAATTGAGATGCTCATCCCACGCCTTGGAGACTAATGGTACCACACATTCTCACTCGTTTCTGACCTATAATAAGCCTCCACAGCTTACAATATTAACACTACTTGCTACGACCAAACCACCCTCGAGTGGTGGAGCTACTAAGAGGAGGAATCACAGGCACATTTGGTGGAGCTACATGACTGGGAAGCTGCTGCTGTGTCACCTTGGGGGCATGCGGAGCCTTCACTGCTATACTGCTGATAGGAGAAGGGCCCATGCACGGCACTACACCAGCACCAGGCATACTTACTGGAGCTGTTGGACCTCCATGGAATCCCTGTCGCGCATTCATGGCCGATGATGATGTCAACACTCCTCCAACTCCCACCTGTGCTGCTACTGCATTACCACCTCCCGCACTTGCTCCCACACTCGCTGCTGATCCTCCTGCCCCTGGACCAACCAGTGTCCCACCTCCTCCCGTCACTGCTGCAACCCCTGCTCCTGACCCTTGTCCCACCACATCACTTCCCTGTGCACCACCACAACCACCAGAACCACCACCACCAGCACCAGCCGCACCAGCAGCAGCAGCACCACAACCAGCAGCACCACCACCAGAAGCAGCAGCAGCAGCAGCAGCAGCAGCAGCAGCAGCAGCAGCCTTGGCCTCCAGCTTCCTCCGCGCCACCATAGCAGCAGCGCTGCCTCTACTGGGCCCTGCTACAAACATACTCCCCACCGGGCCCCGGGCTGGCAGAGGAGATGCATAGCGCGAAGACGTGGTGGCCTTGTCAGGGGTGCCGACGCCGGCAGGGCTGGCAGAACCAGCACCATTGGGGGACATAGCAGCAGCATGCATTGGGCTGCCCGAGGGGCAGAAGGGGACAGGGGAAAGGCAGCGGTTTGGGCTGCCAATGTAGCCAGCAGGAGAAGCCATGAGTGGCCCTGCTGCTGGTGGTGGAGTGTGGTAGGCGACAGGCGTGCGTGCAGGGCTGCGGTTGGGACCCGAGACGAAGGGCATGGCTGCAGTGGCGTGGGGGGAGGGCGATCGGGGTGGGCTGGGGCTAGGCCCTGCCACGAACGGCTGCCGATTCTCCTGCTGGAGCCACGGGCGGCTGCGGTACGGGCTCTGCTGCTGCTGCTGCTGCTGCTGCTGCTGGTACTGCTCTTGCTGGTGTTGCAGCTGCTGCTGGTGAAGTTGTGCTGGCTGCATGTACTGCTGTGCTTGCTGGGAGTTGCCAAACACAGCAGCCTGATTCATGCTGCCACGCACGCCTGCATGGGGCATGCCGCCATGCGCATTTGAAGCATGCAAACCCGCGTGCATCATGCCTTGATGAGCTCCGCGTGCAGGGGTGGGCGGCGCAAGGGACGCGCCACCATGCATGTTGGACGGGTGCATACCCGCATGCAGCATCGCTTGTTGTGTAGGGTGTGGCGGGGTGGGTGAAGCTAGAACCGCACTGCCGTGCCGCGGACTCACAGGAGTATGAAACGGTGCAGCGGGGTGTGCAGGAACAGGAGGAGCACAAGGCACTGCAGGCGTACAAGCAGGGCTGCGGGGTGCAAGGGGGGAGGGCCCCACTGTAGGGCTGCGGGGTGCAGCGGGAGTGGGGCCAACAGCAGGGCTGCGAGCACCACCTGAGATGGAGGACGCCAGGGGGTGCATAGGGCTGGCATTGGGAGTGCCCCCCATGGCAAGCTGCAGCACGTGGAAGGAGCGCGGGGAGGGCGGCGGGGAGAGAGACGTGCCGGCAGCACCCATAGCAGGGACACGGGGGCTAGTGGGTTGGGACCTGGGAGGAGCGAGAGCAGGGTTGGTGGAGGGGCCTGAGGGAGCGCGGGGGGAGAGAGGCGGGGTGGAGGTGCTGGTGGCAGCGCTGGTGGGGGCGAGTGAGTGGAGTGGGGTCTGGAGGAAGGGGTTGGAGGGTGGCGGATGGCGGGGCGATGCGCCAGCAGACCCAGACGAGAATCTAGAGGCACCAGCAGCAGCAGCAGGAGCAGGAGCAGCAGGAGCAGCAGCAGGAGGAGCAGGGAAGCTGTTGGGATTTGTCTGATGAAACAATTTTCTCTCAAACGTGTGTAATTTCCCTGCAGTAACCACCTCCTGCTGCTGCTGCTGCTGCTTCTGCTGCTGCTCGGCCTGCGCCTGCATCTGTGCTTGTGTCCTGGCATCACCTTGAGCCCCCGGTGCTGCCTTCCTCAGTGGACTCACGTTCCTCTCTCCAAACAACGGCCGACTGAATGGCTGATGCACGCCACTGCCACCACCCGCCGCCGCCTGCCCCTTGCTCTCTGCCACAAGCTTCTGCTGCTGCATCTGCTCCTCCTTCTCCCGCCTCCTTGCCACCCACTCTGGCCCAAACGCCAGCGCCTGCAGAAACTGCTGCTGCTGCACCATTGCAGAGTTCTGTGATTGATGCGTGGCAGACACTGAAACCTGCTGCTGCTGCTGCTGCTGCTGCTGCTGCTGCTGTTTCTCTGGAGCCGTCTGCCTGCTCCCTGCTGCACCCACTCCTCTTCCTCCCGCTTCCCCCACCCCTCCCTTCCCCAAGCTGCTACCGGAGCTGCTCCATTCCTCGCCAGTCTCTGACCCACCCACAGCCGACTCCGCTCCATTAGACCGCCCAGCCACTGCGGCCCCCGCTGCTGTTGCCCCTCCAGCGCCCTTCGCCCCAGCTACTGATCCTCGCTTCACACCTCCAGCACCAGCACCACTACCAGCAGGCGCTGCTACTGCAGAGGCAGACGCAGAGGCAGAAGCGGAAGCAGAACCACCACGCTTTGCAGCAGATGCAGCTACAGACTGCCTTCCCACTGCGGTAGCCTTACCTTCTTGCCTTTTCCACGCTGCCCTCTGCCCTGCAGCTGCACTCTTCCGTGTCACACTGTCAGGCTTCCTCACCTTATGGTTGGCCCTTCCCCCCGGGCTGTGCCTTACACTGTTGCTCACCGCCAAGCTGCACGACCCACAGCTCTCCTCCACCTCCGCCGTTGCCTCCTCCTGCACCCCCCCTCCTCCCTCTCCTGCCCCATCTCCCATCTCTACCATACCTCCGGTTCCTACCCCACCCTTTGTCCCGCTCACACTTCTCCTCACTGCTGCTCCTGTCACTGCACCTGTTCTTCCCGCTGGCCTTGCGGTACCAGCCACGCCTGTGGTGCCACGCTGTGCCTTCTGCTGCACCACCGGAACAGCAGCAGGAGCACGAGGGGTAGCAGCCGCAGCAGGAGCAGCAGGAGCAGCAGGAGGAGCAGCAGGAGCAGCAGCAGCAGCAGCAGAGGCAGCAGCAGCAGCGGGAGGAGGTGTGGCATTCCGAGCAGCAGAGCCTAAGCCCTTTCTGGAGGAGAGCTTGAATGGCAGACGAGGCGTGGCAGGAACCGGCACCGCAAGGGGGGTCTGCCTCTCCCTCACACCTGGGTGCGCCTGCATTGGTTGACCACCTGTATGACCACCTGTAGGAGCACTGGCGGGGCCACCTGAGGGGCCACCTGCGGGAGAGGGAGGAGTGCGCTGCAGGGCAGTGTGAGGGCGAGCCTGAGCACCCACGTGGGCGGGTTTGCTCTCCACGTGGTTGGCCCTGCTGTTGACTCGGCTGTCCCTGCCCTCCATCCGCGCTCCTCTGCTGCCCATGGCAGTCCCCATGGCAGTCCCCATGGCAGTCCCCATAGCACTGCTCACATGCCAGTGCTGGCCTGCCACGCTGCCACCTGCTGCCACGCCAGTGATCCCCATAGGCCTATCCACTGTGGCTTCAGCTGGAGGGTTGTTGGCAACCGCTGAATCAACAGCAGCAGCAGCAGCTGCAGCAGCAACATCTGTGCTCGCAGCAGCCTCCACAGCTGCAGCTTCTTCCACAGGGACCGGGTCAGCAACCGTGGTGTCCGATACAACACCAGTAGCTCCGATATCAGCACCGGCACCAGCACTGGCACCAGCAGTAGCAGCACTGGCAGTCGCAGTACCGGCAGTAGCAGCAGTGGTAGTAGCAGCAGTGGCAGTAGCAGCACCGGTGCTCTGACTGGCTTGTTGTGTGGAGTGGAACATGCCTCTAGAGGAAGGCATGCCTCTAGAGGAAGGCATGCCTCTAGAGGAAGGCATGCCTCTAGAGGAAGGCATGCCTCTAGAGGAAGGCATGCCTCTAGAGGAAGGCATGCCACCGCACTCTTCTCGTACTGCACCACTGCACCCACTCACCACACAAGATTTTTCCTCCTCCTCCTCCTCCTCCACCTCCTCCTCCTCCTCCTCCTCCTCCTCCTCCTCCTCTCCTCCTCCTCCTCCTCCTCCTCCTCCTCCTCCTCCTCATCCTCCTGCTTATCATTCTCCTGCCCCTCCTCCTGCTTCTCCTCCTCCTGCTTCTCCTCTTCCTGATTCTCATCTTCCTGCTTCTTCTCCTGCTTCGCCATCTCCTGCTTCTCCTCCTGCTCCCGCCTGTCCACGGAAACTCCTCCTTCCCCACGGATTTCGGTGCCCATACCATCCCTGCTCCCCATTCCATCGTCATCCGCCCCCTCCCCCGCAGCCACACCCTCCGCCCCCTCCCCCACCGCTCCACCATCCGCCCTCTCCACCGCGGCCAGCGCGGCGGCTGCAAGCTGAGCAGCCTGGGCGCGCTCCAGGCTGCGGCGGAGGGAGCTTTTGAGCCAGGGGCGGTCGGGCAGGGGGATGGTGGGGGACGCGGGGCGGCTGGCATGCGCGGACGTGGGGGAAGACGGGCGGCTGAGATGCGCGGAGGTGGGGGAAGACGGGCGGCTGTGATGGGCGGAAAAAGCAGTGGGGGAGGAGGGATGGGAGGAATAGGGGCCAGGAGCGGACGGGCGCGTGGGGTCGTTGGGGGAAGAAGGGCGGACGGGGAAGGAGGAGGGGGAGGCTGGGCGGTTGATCAGAAGGGAGGTAAGGAGGGCGGGGGAGGAGGCAGAAGGAACAAGGCGGCGAGCAGGGTGGCGGAAGCAGTTACCTTCCCCACCTGCAGTGGCAGTGGCAGTGGCAGTGGCAGTGGCAGTGGCAGCGACAGTGGCAGTGGCAGTGCCAGTGCCAGCATTGGCGTTTTCAGCAGCGACAACAGCAGCAGCAGCAGCGACTGCGGCAGCAGCAGCTGCGGAGGAGGTCGGGACAGCAGGAGCAGTGAGGAGGGGGTTATCAAGCAGGCTGAGCGACGGACTGGCAGTGAACGGCCGAATCACATGCCTCCTTGACCCAACAGGCGTCAACCTGCTGCTGCTAGTGCTGCCTCGCTGGCTGCTGCCTGGCTGGCTGCTGCCTGGCTGGCTGCTACCTCGCTGGCTGTTACCTCGCTGGCTGTTACCTCGCTGGCTGCTACCAAAGCCCACAACCCCAGAGGCAGCACCCCAGGCGCCGATCTCCTCAAACACGTCCTCTCCCTGTCGCCTCCCTCTCCACTCCTCGTATTCCTGACTTGCAGGGTCAACCCAAGGGCGGCTTCCCATGCGAGCGCTGCTGCTGCTGCTGCTGCTGCCTCCGCAGCCGCCTCTTCGCCTCCCTCGCCCGTCCCCTGCGAGCCCTGCAGCGCGACTGCCACTCTGGCGCCAACCTCACACGCCGCCTCGCTTTCGCACTCCTCCTGCGCGCCCTCGCACTCCTCTGTCACCTCGTCTGAACTCGCAGGTTCGTCCCCGCCTGCACCTCCACTTCTCACTCCAGCCTCCTCCTCCTCCTCCTCCTCCTCCTCCTCCTCGTCCTCGTCCCTCTCTTCCTCCTTCCCTTCCTCCTCCTCCTCCTCCTCCTCCTCCTCTTCCTCCTCCTCTTCCTCCTCCTCCTCTTCCTCCTCTTCTTCCTCCTCTTCCTCAAATGCAGTCACCGCCTTCTCATCTGCGCTTTCATCCTCGCCTTGTGCACTGGCTTCAAATTCCGTTCCTTCACCCTCCTGTTCCCCTCTCGACCCTTCCTCTCTCCCAGATCGCCCATTCCCCTCTCTCTCACCGCTTTTCTCCTCCGTCACTGCCTTCTCATCTGCGCTTCCATCCTCGCTTTGTGCATCGGGCTCACATTCCGATCCTTTACCCTCCTGTTCCCCAGTCTGCCTTCCCTCATTCTCACCCCTTCCGCTCCCCTCCATCTCGCCTCTTCGCTCCTTGTCCGCTCCTGCCACCAGCTTCAACCCTTCCGCACCGCTGCTCACCTCGCCCCACTTTGCACCCTCACATGCAGCATCCTCTCGCCCACCAACCTCACTAGTAGCACCTCCGTTAGTCGCACAGCTCGCTGTCGAGCCTCCCCCAGAACACCCGCTCTGGCTACCACGATTCAAGGCAACGCCTTCCCGCTGCAAGATTTTGCCGCTCCATCCACGAGCCTCCCGCTGAAACTCCTCCTGCCTCTCCTCAACCTCCGCCTTTCTGCATGAACCAAACGCAGACCCAGCAGACGTAGCCTCATCTGCTGCTCCTGCTGTTACAGGTGCTGTTAGTTTCCCTCCCGCGCCGGCACTAGGGAGGGCGGAGGGGAGAGGGCGAGGAGGGGAGAGGAGGGACGTGCAGAAAGACGAGATGGCAGCTGGCGTTGAGTGGAGCGCGTATGAGGGGAGTGCGAGTGGCGGAGAAGAGAACGCAGTGCCACGCGCACCGACGCTCACATCACCTCTTTCACTCTCCTCCTCCACATCATCGCTTGTGCTCTCCTCCTCCCTCTCCCCCCCTCCCTTCGCCCTGTCCCACTCTCGTCCACCCCCCACTCCTTCCCCTCCCACCATCTCAATAAACACACGCTCCGCCTCATCCTCATTCTCATCCTCATCCCCATCCTCATCCCCATCCTCATCCCCATCCCCATCCCCATGCTCATCCTCATTCTCATCCTCATCCCCAACCTCGTTTCCGTCCCCATCCCCAACGTCACTCCCATTCCCATCCTCCATATCCGCCTCCTCATTATAAGTGTGCTGCCTCATGCCACTGTCGCCCGCTGCTCTACTACCATCCACAAAATCCAGCCGCCCTACCACCTCCCCTCCCTCTCCCGCTCCCTCTTTTTCCCTCTCCTCTCCTCCCTCCTCCTCTCCCTCTTCCCCCTCACTCCCTCCGCGCGTCTCTCTAAATGCTAGTGCGCCGAGCCACACACTGTCAAACGCTCCCTCACCCCCCTCCCTCCCGGCCATCCCAGACCCTTTGCTCATCCCACCTTCACTTCTCCCACCATCACTCCTTCTCTCTGAGCTGGCCTCCACATGACCGTACGTCTCGTTATAGTCACGTTTGTGTGCAGCTACACCAGAAGCACCCGAACGACTGCTTTCTCCACCGTCTATCTTTTTCTCCTCAGTCGCTGGTACCCCCTCTGACGGCCCAGATCCAGCTGACCGCAGAGATTCAGCTGACGGCCAAGGTTCAATTGACGGCCGGAATTCAGTTGACGGCCGAGATTCAGCATATGCCGTAGTTTTGATTGACGGATCAGCTCCAACTGACGATTCAGATTCAGCGGACGGCCTAGATTCTGCTGACCACATCGAGTCAGTTGACGGCTCAGATTCATCCGACGGCCGAGATTCAACGGACTGGCAGCACTCCTCGAGATCGATCACATGGGTGGCTCTGGCAGGCCCCGTTCCTGTCCCTGTCCCTTGGCTGGAGCATGAGGCTGCGCGAGTGATGGACGTTGACTGAGCCGTGACGGCCGCAGATGGAGCGGCAGAGGAAAGATGGGGCTCGGATACGGTCGTGGAAGCTTGTGGCGCAGGTGGCTTTTGAGACGTCTCAAAAACACCCTCTCTACACGTGAGACGAGGCTCAGATATGATGGTCGAGGACGCTTGTGGCGCAGGTGGCAATGGTGGTGCCGTGGGCGGCTGTGGTGGTGACGCGAGCGCTGATACAGAAGCAAGCGAGGGTGCCAGTGTCACGTCGTATTCAGCTTTCTGAATTCTATGCTTGTCAGCCGAGACGCAGTCTGACACAACCCCATATCCACAGCCACTTCCTGAATTGGCAGCAGCAGCAGCTGCGGCAGAAAGAGGAGGGTGACCACAAGCAGCACCGGCAGAAGAAGCACCACCACCAGCAGCAGCAGCACCAGCAGCGCTGTACAAACCAGCGCCAGCTCCAGCAACCGAAGCAGCAGAGGCAGCAGCAGCGGCACCACTGATGGAAGGCGGAGGAGTGAGAGGGCGGGATGCGGTGAGGAAGCGAGTGGGCTTCCGAACGCGCGGGGAGAGGCGGCGCTTGATAGAAGAAAGATTACTGTGCAGGGAGGGCACGGCGGGCAGCTGCATGGGCAGCTGCATGGGCGGCTGCATGGGCAGCTGCATGGGCAGCTGCATGGGCGTCTGCATGGGCAGCTGCATGGGCAGCTGCATGGGCAGCTGCATGGGCAGCTGCATGGGCGGCTGCATGGGCAGCTGCATGGGCGGCTGCATGGGCGACTTTTGAGTCGACTCAAAAGTCACCTCATTACTGTGCAGGGAGGGCACGACGGGCAGCTGCATTGGCGGCTGCAGATAGTGGTATTCGTGTTGCTGCGCCCACTCCGCCACCACCATTCCGCCCTGCTGCTGCTGCCTGAACGGGGCGGCATCGTTTGGCTGTACGTGGTTGGCAGCATGAGGAGATGGCGGCAGGGTGTGGTGCTGCGGAGTGGGTTGGGGCGCTTCTTGCGTGGCCTCGTGCGAGGGGGCCGGTGAGGGCGAGGGGACAGAGGGCGAGAGAACGTAGAGCGGAGGTGTGGAGGGGGCAGGCAAGGCGGTGGGAGCATGGAGCATGGATGCATGCGGTTCAAACTCCCCTTCCGAGTGGGGATGGAGTAGGGATGATGCACACGGCTCAAACTCCCCTTCCGAGTGGGGATGGAGTAGGGACTCCCTTCTCTCCGCGCTCTCATCCGCTTCCTCGCCGTACGTCCCTTCTGCGTCGCCACCCCCATCCCCCTCACCTCCCCATTCCTCCTCTCCCTTCCCCTCCTCCTGCTCTTCCTCCCCCTCCTCCTCTTCCTCCTCCTCCAATACCAGCCATCTCAAGCGCAAGCTTCCCCCGCCCGCACTCCCCTCCATCTCCCTTCCTTCCGCCGCGCCAGTCCCCCCCCCTAGCGTGCGCCCCCCTCCCTCATTCCCCACGGGCGCACAATCACCCCACCGCCTCCTCCTCCTCCCGCTGCCACCCTCGTCATAACTCGCCTCAATCTCGTCAGGATCCGCCACGTCAGCACCGCCCACATCAGCATCCAGCTTCCCAGACTCCAGCTCATCTTCCCCGAAGCCTCTCTCCGCGCCACCCGCTCCCCCCACTCCCCCTGCATCCCCCGAGTTCGTTCCTCCGCCCAGCACCCTACCGTCCGCAGCGGCGGAACCGCTTTCCGCCGGCCCAGCGGGATCCAGGCGGCGGGTGCTGCCTACGGCGGGGACGACGCTGGAACGGGAGTCGCTCGTGCGGGAGTCGCTGGTGGGGGAGTCGCCGGAATCGTCGCCGGAGGAGCTGGAGTTGAGCATGGCGATGGAGTCGGCCGGCGTGGTAGGCTCGAGCGAGTCGCTCGACGAGCCAGACGGGGACGACGAGGCGGGGGGAACGCCAGACTGCGGAACCGACCCGGGAGTGCCACCCTGCGCGTTCGCGTCCGCACGCCCTTCCGCCTTGGCGCTGGGCGTCTTCGCGGCGAGGGACTCGGTTCGAATGGCTGCTGCGGAGGCAGCTTCAGCGGCAGGAACCGGGGCAGCCGCATCGGCAGCAGCATCGACTTCGAGCGCAGCTTCGTCCTGTTCGTACTCGCGATTCGTCTTCCCAGCTCGCGCGCCGGCCCTGCCCGTGAGGTGCGAGCGACCGCTCATGGCCATGAGCGACTCGAGATCCACTGGCGCGTCGCTCTTATCCGCCCCCTCGACCTCATCCTCGCTATCATACTCCTCGTTCTCATACACGTGCTCCTCGTCGCGCTCGTGCTCGCCGTCCTCGTCCCCGTTACAGCGCTCATCGACACTGTCACACGTGTCATGGTCATCAACACCCTTCGCCGCACTCCCGCCCTGCCGCATCCCATCACCACACACAGCCTCCCCTGCTGCATCCTTCCCTGCTGCAGAACCACCACCACCACCACCCTCCATCTCCCCTGGCCACCCCATTTCCCCCGACGGCCGCTCCTCTCCCGGCCGGTTAACCTGCACGGGGCTCGCCGCGTGGCCGGCAGGCTTGTCGGCGCCGTCCATGTCTCGCAGGAACGCCGCGAGAATCCGCCGCTTTGACTCCTCCACCTCCGGCCCCATCCGCTCCCTAGGCTTCCTCACCGCCTTGCTCCGCCCACTCACGCCCAGCGCGCCCTTGTCACTCGTGATCAAGTCACCTGCTGCCACGTGTCCTTTGCCTTCCCCTGCCACGTGTCCGTCTTTCGACACGTATTCTTTGCGTTGCTCTACCACGTGTTCGTCGCCTTCCGCCGCCACGTGTCCCCTCACCTCCTGAGCCACCTCCTCTGACCCTTCGCTCGCCGCACTACCGCCGAAATGCAGCGAGCTGGCGTACGTACCAGCAACCTCGCTATAAGCACGCGCCACCGCCTCCCTGACAGACGGATCCGTCGTGCGCGCGTACGGTACGGATGGCTGTGCGCAGTGGGTGGTTGCCGTCCTGTGCTGAGTTTGTGACTCATGTTGCCCTTGATGTTGATGCTGCTGCTGTTGCTGTTGGTGCCGTGGCTGCTTCTGCGGCGTCTGCGCATTCTCGTGTCTTCGCGCAGGGCTGCAGCGCCGAATCAGCCCTCCGAACAGCCGAGAAGTGCGCGTTTTCTCCTGCGGCTGGCCCAAATTCTTGCTCTGGTTCCAAGGCTCGTTCCGAGGCTCGGCATGAGGCTTGTTGTCGATGGATCGGTCATTGTCGCAAAAAGAAGGTCTGCTGCTGACCAAGGAAAAATACCGATACATGAGAAAGAGGAAGCGGAGAATGAGGGGAAGACGGGAAGGCGTACAGAACGCTGGACATACGAAGAAGGAACGGCAATCGGGGAAGGAGGAAATGAAGTGCATGGACCGGTGGAATTAGTAGCTGCTGCGGACGTGGGAAAAGAGTGAGAAACTGAACGGCTGGGGAACTGAAGGGAATGGAGATGGCCAACCTTGGTGTGGGGCCCTGGGCAGCTGAGGCGTGGAGGCGAGCCCTGATTCTCGCGACCAGCATCGACGTCTGCACATGGCCGTATGGTGCGGGGAGAACAGAAAAGCGGTGGAGGGGGAACGAGGAGTGAAGGATGCGTGAAAATGAGGGGGAAACCGGAGGAGGAGAATGATAACAAGTCGAGGAAATGCTTTTCCAAAAGCAAATCTTCGCGGTATGTGAACAGAAGTAACCCGTTCAGTGACAATGTAAACGAGCACCAGAGCGCGCAGATAATGAGAGCGCGCAGATAATAAGAGCGCGCAGATAATAAGAGCGCGCAGATAATAAGAGCGCGCAGATAATAAGAGCGCGCAAATAATGATACCGCGCAGAAGAATGAGCAGCAGCCGTGTGCAAGTCAACAGATCGACCACCCACCGTCGCTGCTCGGCTGCTGACGCCGAGTTGGCGGCACAGCCGCTTGATCTCATCGCGAGATTTGTCCTCTAGATTATCCTGGAAGGCCGCCGTCGATGCCGCGTCCATGGCCGCATAAATTAGTTCCAGAATGCAAGGCCGATTTTCCTGGTGTATTCCTATGAACGACTTGCTTTTGATCACGGCCCTAATACGTTATTTGATTGGTCGGCAAACAATCAAAGTTGCGTTGGTCTGGTGGAGTCTAATGCTGGCATGAGTTCAGAATTGCTGACATCTGTCACAGCGGTGTCGTTCTGGGGGACGCACCTCGGTCCAATCGAATCAGCCAGTAACTAAGACCGAGGAACGTCTAGCTGCATATTAGGCGTGCGAACATTAAAAAGTACAATGGTCTATTACAACTGCTCCGCAACATCCACAGTGCTGGTGTGGCTTGAGAGAGACCACGAGACTGAAAGAGAGACGTACAAGCATGCACTGCTCATGGGGTTATGCTTATTGCAGATGCCACTTCAGACAGAAGTGAGGAACAGCTGTGGTGCGGTGGTGTTCCATAGCATTCGCTTCCTCCTGTCCCACCATCCTGGTTTCCCGGCATCCAGGTTTCCTGGCATCCTGGTTTCCAGTTCTTTGTGCCTGTTGCTGATGTTCCCAAGGAGCATCGGATGCGAACGAAGCAGGCGCCATCCCGCGTGAGGCGCGCAAAGCGCCTGATCAACGTAATGTCCTTCCCGTCTCGCCCCGCCTTGCATTTCTCGGTAAGATTGGAGACATTGGGAACATCTCGACCGTCGATTGAGGTATCGAGGTGCATCATCTTGTGGTAGAATTTGCGGGAAACCCTGTGGTGGTGTCGTCAGAGGGCTTCTCTTCACCCGCAAATCGTCAGAGCACCGTTCGCGAAGCGCGCTTTCTGTTGTCCCGCCAATGGCGTTCAAGCAGCACCTCCCCTTGGAAAAAACTCAAATATCTCGCATGCACACTGAAACATTTATGGTAAGCATGTATAGATTGAATGCTAACTCCGGTGATAGAATGTATATGAAGAACTGTTTCTCTAAACGTGTGCAAATTGATGTAAGCCTTTCTGTAAGCAAGTGTACTTGCCTGATGTTTCCAACGAGCTTCTTCACTGACGTGGTGTCCGCGATACAGTGAGAATCGGCGCACACGCAATGCCACAACTTCTCCCCGATTCACAGCAGCCAACCAATGAAGCTGAACCCGATATAGGCGAACTCGGTTCTCCCCCTCAGCCTCCACCCCGTCCTTCCTCCCACACCCACCCCACAAATCTCGAGGATCCTCAAGCACAGCCAGCAGCTAACACGCCCTGCTTGTCCCCTTGTCGTTCTAGACCGTCTGGGAGTTTTTTTCACCAGCAGCCGCCTCCGTTGATTAGTCCGTCCACCTACTTCTCTCGTTCCCCGTCTTTCTCCCGCCCCGTCGCGCTGCCTCGTTACGAGCCATCGCTTATCGCGCGTGCCCTCTTCCCTTCTCCAGATCCGCCTCTATTGTAGGAAGAAACCACAGATCTGCCGCTTTGCACTAGCTTACCCGATCGCAACGCCTTCACGTGCCTCGCTGTAAGCAGTTTTCACACACCTCGTTAGAAGCACATGGCGGGGGAGTACGGTCGCGAGCCGTGCCCAGATCGCATCCTCGACGACGTAGGCGGGGCGTTCAGCATGGGCGCGGTGGGCGGCGCCGCGTGGCATTTCATCCGTGGAGCAAAGAACTCCCCGCGCGGGGAGCGCCTTATCGGCGGAACGCAGGCTGTGCGGATCAACGCGCCGCGCATCGGCGGCAGCTTCGCGGTGTGGGGCGGGCTGTTCTCAACGTTCGACTGCTCGCTAGTGTATCTCCGCCAAAAGGAAGACCCCTGGAACTCCATCGCCGCGGGTTTCCTTACCGGCGGCTTCCTCCAGTTGCGCGCGGGCCCGCGATCCGCGCTGCAGTCCGCCGTGTTCGGCGGAGTGCTGCTGGGGCTGATCGAGGGCGCGGGGATCATGCTCAACCGCATGACCGCAGCGCTTCCGCCTCCCCCGCGCGACGAGCCCCCGCCCGCGCAGATCCAGCAGCCAATGAGCATGCCCGTGGTTGTCCAACCCGCCGCTCTTCCCGCTGCCGCCGCCCCTACCCTGTCTACCCAACCTGAGTTAGTCAGCCCCGGCGCTGGTGGCGCTGTGACGTTGCCGAACGTAGAACTCAGCCCTGGATCAGGCTCGGCGGCGGTACAGACTGGTCCGGTAGCGTCAGATAGTGGCGCATCATCAGGCTGGGGAGGGTGGTTCTCTTGGGGTGGCGCAGGCGGGAACAAGGGCGCTCAAGGGGGAAGCAGCAGCAGCAGCAGCAGTGGCGGGGTGAGTGGAGGGGAGAAACATGATGTGTTTGCTGCTAACCCGCCGCCTAAAGCACCAGAGTTTGCTGCTGGAGGGGATGATTCATGGTTGAGACAGAAGTGAGGAGGAAAGGGGGAGTGCAGTGTTGTAGCAGGCATGTGCTTCCCTATTGTGTAGTAGGAAGGTGTTCTTTTGTTGTCTCGTTTTTTCATAAAGACTTCCACATCTTCTGGGTTTTACTGTATGACTGCTGATTCTAAAACGACGTGGTGGCTAGCGGGTGGTCACTCTTGCGGCCACAACTTTGCCTCAGTGGGAACACAGCACTAGTAATGGTTTACTCCGAAACGTCACTCTGGTTTACTCCGAAACGTCTCTCTCCACTGGTCTGACACATCTTGTGTGCATTGCATCATATGGAAGTGGATCTCTACTTCCACAATACCCAGAGAGGATTCTAGATGGTGCATAAGCCCAGAGAAGATTCTAGATGGTGCATAAACACCTACAGAACACGAGGATTATCTGCTGCATCTTTAGTAGGTGGTGATCACCTGACACGCCCCAGGCTGTGGACCAACAGGCAGTGTAAGACTTTTGAGATGGTAGTAGCCATGGGGAGAGAGAGGGCAAGGCAAGGCAAAGTTGTCCAGGTCCGCAGACGAACCCTTGGGATGTTCACATGGCTGGTTAGTCATGGCGTGCACGCTTCTCTCCCCCCTCTTTGTCATCCGCCGAACGCTTGTGCGACCCTGCACCACCACACCACACCATAACGCACCACACCAAATTGGATCTATTGATACATAAGAAAGCCAACACACCACACATTGGCAGGTCAATGGGCAGTATTGACCAGACAGGCAACAACGAGACTCAAAGATGCCTGCCGAGCACACATGCACAAGCCAAACTATGGGGATGGCCCGCATGGGGATGCGTCAACCCACCGTGAGAGTCTTTTCGGTCGTCGTCTGCCGATGCTGCAGCTGCTGCTGTGGCGTCTGTGCCTGTGCCTGTGGCGGTTCCATCAGTGCCAGTTTCAGTCCCCACAATGGTGGGTTGCGTGTTGGGGGGTAGAGGGGGCGGGGGAGGGAGCGCGGTGGTGGGGAGAGCTCCTGCTGCTGCAGTGGCAGCGGCGAGGAAGGTGGGATCGGAGAGAAGGGAAGGGTCGAGAAGGGAGGGGTCGAGGCCGGGAATGGCGAAGGCTGCAGGAGGGATGGACGAAGGGGCGGGCACGGGGGCGGGCGGGAGGGGTTCAACCTTCTCAACCCTGCTCACCAGCACACCACCCAGCCAGCAACACCAGCAGTCGCCCATGCCAGCAGCGGCAGCGGCAGCAGCAGCAGCAGCGCAAGCAGGCAGGAGAGCAGCGGGTGTTGGAGCAGAGGCAGCGGAAGCAGCACAGCAGCGCAAGAGCCACGAAAAGGGAGGTTGTTAGGAGTCAAGGGCAGGGTGGATGGGACTTGGATGCAAAAACAACAAGGTTATGAAGCAAAACTGCAAGGAAGATTGAGGCAGTTGGTGCCATGGGGGGGTATCAAAACTGCGAGGGAGGATGGAATACGGGATAAAATGCGGACAGCGGGAAGGGCAGGGAAGGACGGGACGGGAGGGGCGGGCAGGGCAAGAAGGGGAGAAGAGGGAAAGGGGGGGAGGGAAGTAAGGGGAGGGAGGGAGGGAATAAGGGGATAAGGAGGAAAGGGTAAAAATGAGCGCTTCAATCGTCACAGCAGCAAGAAAAGCCACAACAAGCCTGGGGAGGGGGAACGGCAGCAGGGCGGGACGTACGAGATGGTGGCGCCCATGAACTTGGTGCCGTTCAGCTCTAGCGCCTTCGCCACCGCGCCTGCATCCTCCACCTCCACCGTCGCCATTTTCGTCGGGCCCTTGTAACCCTCGTCGCCGTCGCCCCCCTCCTCGCCCTTCTCTCCCTTCTCCTTGCTCGGCTCCTCAGGCGGCGGGCCTGGCACGGGCACGATGATCAGCGAGCGCACGTGGCCGCAGCGCCCCTCCACGAGCGCGCGCACGTCCGCTTCCGAGGCCTGGGCGGCACACGGCAGCACGCACACGCAACGGGGGAACCAGCGGGGTGGGTGGGCTTCGGGAGGGGCGAGAAGGGCAGGGCGGGAGGGTAGGGTGGGAGGGTAAGGCGGGAGGGAGGGAGGGTCGGGCGGGAAAGATGGGCGTCGGGACGCAAGGGGCGGGAGTAGAGAGCAGGTGAGGCGCGGAAGGGAGAAGTGCGCGGAGAGAAGTGCTCTGGGGGGAGCGGTGCGCGGAGGGGGGTGATGCTCGGAGGGGGGAGATGCGAGGAGGGAAAGGGAGATGCGCGGAGGGGGGAGGGAGATGCGCGGGGAGAAGAAACGAGCGAATAGAAGCAATGAACAGTAACCGCAGGATGTAGCTGGTAAGCGGGACAACGAGGCACACCTTAGCGGGGATGCCCTGCACTTTGACGATGTTCTGCGGAGCGGCGACGGCCGCCATCATCATGGCTGGCGTCATGGTCGGCAGCGCCGCCGGCGGCGCGTTGCGCTGCGACAGCGCGTTGGTCTGAATGGCGGACTTGCTGGGGGAGATTCTGTTCGCACGCGGAAAGAGGGAGGCGGAAGGGAGAAACGCGCAGGGCGGGAGGATTGAGCGGTAATGTACAGCGGGGCAGGGCAACAGAAGTTATACCGCAATGCTTGTGTGGCTGCAGGCTAAAGCGACTACTCTAGCGTCAACGTGCGCTCGAAACAGCATTATGGTCTGCCCGGAACTACCTCAAGGTCTGCCCGGAACTACCTCAAGGTCTGCCCGGCGAGGACTTGGCCGTCCAGCGAGAGCGCGGCGAGCGCGGACTGCTGCGCGGCGAACTCGATCCACGCCGTGCGCGGGTTGCCCGTGCCCGCCGTGCGCGCGGCCGTCACGGTGCCGCACACGCCGAAATACTCCACGAGCATCGCCTCCGTGATCTGAGAGCCGACGCGACGTGGGGAAGGGGACACGGTGGGATGAAGGTATATGCTGATGTTTGAAAAAATAAAGGAGAGAGTGAGAGAGAGAAAAAAGACAGCGACGAGAAAAAGGATCATTCAGCAGGCTATGTCGAAGAAAACTTCGGATTAGGACTCTAGCTGACCTGGATATCGACATTGCGAACGTGGATGGTCCGCGAAATGCGCTCTTGATCCTCCACGGTGGACCGTTTCCGAGGCGCGCTGACGGCGGGTGTCGCTGCCAATCCCGCGCCGCCCATCAGCGCAGCTAAGGGGTTCTGCACCGCTGCTGACGCTGCTCCTTTCTGCCATGCCCAGGCACGCGGAAAACGGAAGCAAAAACCGATCTTGGAACAGACGCAAGGTTCGGGCCTACGATCTGGGATTGAGTGCGAACACTACGAAACCCTAACAAGCATTTCTAGCTGCCATTCCTCGACCTGTGATTGAGAGTATGCTGGGTTCACGATGGACGCAAGATGATACGGAACGCTTGGAAGACGAATAGAAGAGGAGATGGTATGGAAGCGCGATGCGTACCCCGGCGTATGGCTTGGAGAGCGAGACGCGGAGATTGCGCGAGCCGACCTGCAGACCGTCAAGCAAGCACGCTGCGTGCGCCATAACGGAATCGTTAAACTCCACAAACGCGTACCGTGTCTGCATCTTCGGGTCACTGCGACACGCAGGAAACAATGGAAAAAATCCTGTAAACAAGCGAGCAACAAAACCTCACGAACAACGGACTGTGCACGAGGCCCTGAATCGAACGCACATAAATATCACGGTGACAGATCCAGTCCGCAGATCTGACGCAAGCGTCGCTTAACCCAAAGCGCAAAAAAAAGAAAATCTTAGTGCTTACCCAGCGAGGCGAACGTTGGTGACAGTGCCGAACTGCGAGAAGAGCAGGTAGAGCGTGCTCTCGTTCACGAACGTCTCGAGATTGCCAACATGGACCGTGCGGTCTCCCATAGCTGCACTGCGACGAATTACTTAATCTACGAAGTGAAGCAACGAACGCAAGAATGTGACGATCACCAGCGTGACGATCCGAACAAACCAGGATGTAGACTGACAGCCGGAACGTGAAGCTGCCTCCTAAAGCTGACAGGTGATTGAATGGAAGGAATGTTCAGAAGCAGGGAGATGAGGGTAAAAGAAAAGCTGACTAGGGAGAGTCTGGTCTGGTGTGGTTTGGGTAGACTCAGGCACGCACGTCCCGCAAAGGCCAGGTTGCGGTGGAAAGGAGAAGAACCCTCACTGTATGGCGGACAGTGAAGTGAAGCATCGAGAACGCCGTGTATCAAACTCTCCTATCTGAAAACGTTATGCCTCATTGCAACAAGACAGTTGTCAATACACACGTCGCTCGCCAGGCTGAATCGAACAGCTCGGCCGTCAAGCCGCTACGGATTTGAAGTCCGCACCCAAGACCACTCAGGTTCAAGCAAGCAACTACATGCTGCCTTGCGTCACCTGAAAGGCTCAAGAAATGCCACACAGTGCTCAGTGGGCTCGATCACCTGTTGTTTTCATCGTGTTTGTTGGGCTGGTTTGGCTCAAATTAGGTCAGGCAAGAGGCGCCTCCCCCAGACACCAAACCAACTCCGCTTGATGAAACATCGTGCCGTACAAAGCAGGCATATTTCGACTTTCACACATCCCGAGTTCCGTCAATCCAGTCGTTAGGTCTGTAGGCCCAGCCCGATTTTTTTTCTGGGCGTGACGATGATCCGGGGGTTCCTAGTGTAAAGGCATCTGTTTGTCGCGACATTTCAGCCTATCATGGCGGCGACACTGGCCAGCATCGTTTCGCATACGAACCTTCGCTCGCTCCTCATCTTCGCTCTCTTCGCATGCTTCGCCTTCCTCTCCATCGAGATTGGTTACAACTTTCGCTACACCGCCACCGACGCGCACTCGGCGTCGCTGTTGCTCCCGCGGTATCACCAGCAGGCGGCGCAGCCGCGGCCGGGGGAGAGCGCGGAGGAGGTGCTGGGGAAACTGCGCGCGGAGATCGAGAAGCAGCAGCTGCGCACGGCGAAGCGCCAGCTGTTCCGCGACGAGGTGCGCACGCTTATGGACGAAATCGCGCGGCTTAAAGCGAATCACTCGGGGCCAATCAAAGCCGAGGATCTCAAAACCTTCGCTGACGTAAGCAACAACGCCGGGGGAGGAGGAGGTGGGGGAGGAGGGGAAACCAGTGGTTCTGTTTCCGATGCTGCTGCTGCAGCAGAACTGGCGAAATGCGAGGCGTCTTTGCAAGAGTGCAGAGAGAGCCTCGGGCAGGCTGGTGGAGCAGAAGGGACGGGAGGGGACGCCGGGGCTAACAACAGTGCTGCTGCAACCACTGGTGATGCGGCAGCAACGGGTGCAGGGACTGGGTCTGGTGGTGCTGGGCCTGATGTGGCGGTTGCACTGAGTGAGAGTGAGATGTTGGCATCGCTGCAAACACAGTGCGAGCAGCAGCAGATTCTGAACGAGCGGTTGCAGCAGGAGAGGGAGAGGCTGGCGGCTGCAGTGGCGCATTACTCGAGAAACACCACAGACTGCAATGACACTGTCTCCAGTGATGATGCTCTCCAGGCTGCCCGGAAAGCAATTGAGGAGTGCGGCTGGGCAGCTGAGCAAGCGCGCGAGAGCGCCATCGGTGGCGGGTACAGTAGCGGGGAGCTTTCAGCTGCCCGGATTCGTGCCACGTCGTGCAGTGCTACAGATGAGGAGCTGCTGAAATACCTGAACTACTCCCCAAAGAAACCCTGTCCAGATGACTGGTACTTTGTCCAGCACCTGATCTTCGTCCGCAACTGCTTCTGCCTGCCACGCAGACGCTGCTTTGCCGTAGCACCCCGGGAATATCAGGAGCCGAGCATTCCCTTCCCCCAGTCTGTCTTCGACCCGCGTGCCCTGCTGGATTCGAACGTGCGGTGGGACCTGCACCGCTGCAAGTCGTACGCGTGTATCAACTCGCGGCTGCTCGGGGATTGCCGCGACTGCTTCAACCTTACGCTGGAGGCGAAGCGGTGGAAGAATAACTATCGCGGGGCGGTGACTTTAGAGGAGGTGATGAAGCTGAAGCCGCGTGGGTCTATTAGGATTGGCCTGGATGCTGGTGGGGGTACCGGCAGCTTTGCAGCGGCGCTTGCACTGTACAATGTGACGATTCTGACCACCGCCATGAACACGGAGACGGTGCAAGAAGTGGAAATGGGGTTGCCTTATATGGAGACGATTGCGCAGAGAGGGCTGGTGCCTCTGCACGTGCCGCACAAGGCCCGCCAGCCGTTCTTTGACAACACCCTGGATTTGATTCACACGGTGAACAGTATCAAGTACTTTTCCATCCCCGAATTTGAGGAGCTTCTGTTTGAGTGGGACAGGATTCTAAGGCCTGGAGGGATCTGGTGGTTTGAGCTGTTCTATGCGCCGGTGTGGGAGATGCCTCTGTACATTGGGGTGATTGAGCAGTTTGGGTATGGGAAAAAGTATTGGAATCTGACACCAAAAACAGATACAGCTGAGAGGGAGGGTGAGCATGTGTATCTGAATTGTGTGTTGGAGAAGCGTAGCCGGAGATAGCATTTAATACTATTATATGTGATATGGAATCGAAGATTTGTCAACTATGTTACTATCTAGGTGGAAGATTGCCAGTCTGTCCCCTCCCTGCCCTTATTATTTGTATATTTCTGGCATTTCCATGTTTCATACCAGAACCTGGATTTTGTTAGCCAGAACCGAGTATGGTACTGCACAATCAAAAGCATTTGTCTGCATTTGCATCTTCCGGATAAGGCTGGTTGCACAATCACGGGTACTCACATCGTAGCCGTTCATCGCTCGTGATATCTCGCTATTATTCCCAACCCAAACATTCGCCCCTCGCCTAGATTTCAGTTTTTTTCCCATCACCACACTTGTAGAACAAATTTACTCTATTCCACTACGGTCTTCTATTGCCTCCTAGTCCAATTTCTGCCGGTCCTGCCACACCATTGCTTTCCGGCCTCACTCCAAGAGCCATCAGCTGTGAGGTCGGCTCCTTCCTTACGAATTAACATCCGTTGCGCGTGACTGACATGGCTTCCATCTGCCACGTCAGCCTCTTGCCACAGGCGCTCAGTGCACAACTGAACGCCTCTCAGAGCACCTCAACTCCCGCCAGCGACCACATTTCCGCTCTGCTATCCACACGCAGGCCGTCCCGTGCATTGCAAAAGCACGCATGGCTATGGTTTCCCGGCAGCCATGATAAACACGGTTTTCACAGTAGAAAAAGAGGTGTGGTTCCGAGCGTCAGGGCGAAAGCCAGTGAAGGGGGCGACGGAGCAGCGCCGGTCGCGGCGGGGACGGCCGCGGATTTGGCGGTCCCGCGAAGCGCGGAGCAGGCGGTGAATCAGGGGCTGGAGCTGTACAAGAAAGGGCGGGTGCGCGACGCGCTGAGGCGGTTCGAGATGGCGCTCGAGATGAAACCCTCCGAGGAAGAGGCGCAGGCTGCGCTCTATAACAAGGCGTGCTGCCATGCTTTCAGGTAGCGCCAAGGTCATATTAAGTAAAAGAACAGCAAGGGAATTGAGCTAGTAACACTGGGATCGCGCATTAAGCATTTCTTTGATCGCATACGGCCAGATTATTGAATTTCCGGTGCGTTCTTTGAGGCAATTCAGTCGTTTACCGTGACCTGACGTCGCACGGGTGACGTGGCACGTGCAGGGAGGAGGGCGTGCAGGCGCAGGAGGCGCTTCGCGAGGCGCTGCGGTACGGGCTCCAGTTCAGCGTGATTCTGAGCGATCCGGATATGGCGGCGTTCCGCGCCATGCCTGAATTCAGAGCGCTTCAAGAGGAGGTGAGGCCGCAGGAAGGGAGGGAGGGAGAGAGGAGGTGAGGGGAGAGGAGGTGAGCGAAGAGGAGGTGAGGGAGAGGAAGTGAGGGAGAGTGAGGAAGACTTGTGTGTGGTGATGCTTGCATGAACCATAGAGGGGGAGGGCAGGAGAAGGGGAAGAAGAAGAGAGAATTAAACTGAAAGAGCACTGGGAAACTGCATGGGGGAAAGGATTGGAGAAGAGCTGATGTGCAGCACATTTGCTCCCTCCTCTCCCACTCACATACCAGGCAAGGAAGGGCGGCGAGGAAGTGGGCGGCAAGTTTCGGCGGGACTTGAAGCTGATAGCAGAGGTGCAGGCGCCGTTCAGAGGCGTGAGGAGGTTTCTCTACGTGGCGCTGGGCATGGCTGCTGGCATCGCCACTGTCATCACCATCCCCCGGTTCATCCTGGCCGTCCAAGGAGGGCTGGACGCCCCAGATCTGCTCACCACTGGTGGCAACCTGGCCATTGACCTGGGAGGTGAGGGTGCTGTGCGGTGAAGAGTGGTGGTGTGAGGTGCCAGCTAAGCAAGTTGAGGATAGTGTGTGGTAGAGCGGTGGTGGAGGATGCAGGTAAAATGGAGAGGACAGGGAGACTGGACTAGGCTGCTCGTTTCCATGAAAGTGAAAATAGCCCCTAACTATTTTCTGCCTCCCCCTGTCCCCTTTCCTCTCATCCCCACGTCCCCGCCTTGCTTCTATCATGTCACCTTTAGGCGGGGTGGCGATGGTGGGGCTGTACCTGTGGGAGCAGCGGCGAGAGGAGGAGCAGATGGGGCGAGTGTCACGTGATGAGACGCTCTCCCGCCTGCCTCTTCGGCTCCAGTCGGGCAAGGTGGTGGAACTCGTGCAGCTTCGAGGCACAACGCGCCCGGTGAGTGAGAAAAGAAAGGATGCCAGGTGCTTGTATGGGGGTGCTTGAGTTGCAACAGGCTCCTCTGCCTGCCTCTGCGGCTGCAGTCGGGCAAGGTGGTGGAGCTCGTGCAGCTCCGAGGCACAACGCGCCCGGTGAGTGAGAAAAGAAAGGATGCCAAGTGCTTGTATGGGGGTGCTTGAGTTGCAACAGGCTCCTCTGCCTGCCTCTGCGCCTGCAGTCGGGCAAGGTGGTGGAGCTCGTGCAGCTCCGAGGCACAACGCGCCCGGTGAGTGCTCAGTGCGAGCGATGGAAAGAGGGGACTGGAGCTGCAGTCCCAGCTTGGGGACTGGAGCTGCAGTCCCAGCTTGGGGACTGGAGCTGCAGTCCCAGCTTGGGGACTGGAGCTGCAGTCCCAGCTTGGGGACTGGAGCTGCAGTCCCAGCTTCGGGACTGGAGCTGCAGTCCCAGCCTCGGGACTGGAGCTGCAGTCCCAGCCTCGGGACTGGAGCTGCAGTCCCAGCCTCGGGACTGGAGCTGCAGTCCCAGCCTCGGGACTGGAGCTGCAGTCCCAGCTTCGGGACTGGAGCTGCAGTCCCAGCCTCGGGACTGGAGCTGCAGTCCCAGCCTCGGGACTGGAGCTGCAGTCCCAGCCTCGGGACTGGAGCTGCAGTCCCAGCTTCAAGACTGGAGCTGCAGTCCCAGCTTCGGGACTGGAGCTGCAGTCCCAGCCTCGGGACTGGAGCTGCACTCCCAGCCTCGGGACTGGAGCTGCAGTCCCAGCTTGGGGACTGGAGCTGCAGTCCCAGCTTCGGGACTGGAGCTGCAGTCCCAGCCTCGGGACTGGAGCTGCAGTCCCAGCCTCGGGACTGGAGCTGCAGTCCCAGCTTGGGGACTGGAGCTGCAGTCCCAGCTTCGGGACTGGAGCTGCAGTCCGAGCTTCGGGACTGGAGCTGCAGTCCCAGCCTCGGGACTGGAGCTGCAGTCCCAGCTTCAGACTGGAGCTGCAGTCCCAGCCTCGGGACTGGAGCTGCAGTCCCAGCTTGGGGACTGGAGCTGCAGTCCCAGCTTGGGGACTGGAGCTGCAGTCCCAGCTTCGGGACTGGAGCTGCAGTCCCAGCCTCGGGACTGGAGCTGCAGTCCCAGCCTCTGGACTGGAGCTGCAGTCCCAGCCTCGGGACTGGAGCTGCAGTCCCAGCCTCGGGACTGGAGCTGCAGTCCCAGCCTCGGGACTGGAGCTGCAGTCCCAGCCTCGGGACTGGAGCTGCAGTCCCAGCCTCGGGACTGGAGCTGCAGTCCCAGCCTCGGGACTGGAGCTGCAGTCCCAGCCTCGGGACTGGAGCTGCAGTCCCAGCCTCGGGACTGGAGCTGCAGTCCCAGCTTCGGGACTGGAGCTGCAGTCCCAGCCTCGGGACTGGAGCTGCACTCCCAGCCTCGGGACTGGAGCTGCACTCCCAGCCTCGGGACTGGAGCTGCACTCCCAGCCTCGGGACTGGAGCTGCACTCCCAGCCTCGGGACTGGAGCTGCACTCCCAGCCTCGGGACTGGAGCTGCAGTCCCAGCCTCGGGGCTGGAGCTGCAGTCCCAGCCTCGGGGCTGGAGCTGCACTCCGAGCCTCGGGGCTGGAGCTGCACTCCCAGCCTCGGGACTGGAGCTGCAGTCCGAGCCTCGGGACTGGAGCTGCAGTCCCAGCCTCGGGACTGGAGCTGCAGTCCCAGCCTCGGGACTGGAGCTGCAGTCCCAGCCTCGGGACTGGAGCTGCAGTCCCAGCCTCGGGACTGGAGCTGCAGTCCCAGCCTCGGGACTGGAGCTGCAGTCCCAGCCTCGGGACTGGAGCTGCAGTCCCAGCCTCGGGACTGGAGCTGCAGTCCCAGCCTCGGGACTGGAGCTGCAGTCCCAGCCTCGGGACTGGAGCTGCAGTCCCAGCCTCGGGACTGGAGCTGCAGTCCCAGCCTCGGGACTGGAGCTGCAGTCCCAGCCTCGGGACTGGAGCTGCAGTCCCAGCCTCGGGACTGGAGCTGCAGTCCCAGCCTCGGGACTGGAGCTGCAGTCCCAGCCTCGGGACTGGAGCTGCAGTCCCAGCCTCGGGACTGGAGCTGCAGTCCCAACCTCGGGACTGGAGCTGCAGTTCTGCCCTGCTCTGCCCTGTCCTGCCGGGCTGTGTGGGTGCCGGTGATTGTGTTGGGTCACAGGGAGGCGGTGCAGCAGGCGATGACTCTTGAGTCAACTCAGAAGCCGCGCTGCTCTGCCCTGTCCCACCGTGCGGTGTGCGTGCAGGTGATTCTATTGGGGTGCAGGGAGGCGGTGCAGCAGGCGATGAAGCGCGCGGAGGGGAAATCGCTTTTGGGATTTTTCGAACGTGTGTGCGTGCACGTGATACTGTCGGGGCCAAAGGAGGCGGTGCAGCAGGCGATGAAGCTTGCAGAGGGAAATCGCTTTTGAGATTTTTCGAACGTGCTGTGTGCGTGCAGGTGATACTGTCGGGGCGAAAGGAGGCGGTGCAGCAGGCGATGAAGCGCGCGGAGGAAAGTCACTTTTGAGAATTCTTGATTGTGCTGTGTGCGTGCAGGTGATACTGTCGGGGCGAAAGGAGGCGGTACAGCAGGCGATGAAGCGCGCAGAGGGGTACCGCAAGCAGCTGCAGGAGCGCGGGGTGCTGCTCGTGCCCATCCTGCAGAGCAAGGGCGTGCTGGCAGACAGCAAGAAGAAGGGGTTTGCTGCCGTCAAGAAGCCTGCTGCCACGCTGGAATACCTGGTGAGATGAGGTGACTTTGGAGTTGACACTATGGGTACCGCAAGCAGCTGCAGGAGCGTGGTGTGCTGTTCATGCCCATCCTGCAGAGCATGGCCGGGGGCGTGCTGTCAAGAAGCCTGCTGCCACGCTGGAGTCTCTGGTGAGACACAGCAGCAATAGAAGCAGCAAGTGCTAAGCTTGTGTTTTCTTGGTGTGCCTCCGGTGTGCTCCCTGAGCCTCCGGTCAGCACCTTCAGTGTTGCATTTGTCCTCTTTAGGAGCTGGAATTCAATTTGAGCTTAGCTGACTGCTGCACTCTTTTCTCCATCCAGTTATATCCTGAAAGTGTTTACCACTTAGCACTTTGATCCTTACCACTCAACATTCTTCACCCAACTTATTTTGTGTGCTGACGTGACGGCAGGAGGAGTTTGAGGAGAAGGCGAGGGAGGCTGCGGCAAAGAGAGTGGCGGAGGCGGACAGACGGCTCAAGGCTGAAGCTGTGTCGCCCGGGGAGTGGGACCAGTGAGTGTGGTGGGCAGGGATGTAGGACCAGTGAGTTGGAGGGGAGGGGGAGGGGGGAAGGGGAAAGTGAGGAAGGCAGAGGGACCAAATGAGTGTGAGGAGGCAGGGAACAAATGAGTGGGGGGGCACACACACACACACACACACACACACACACACACACACACACACACACACACACACACACACACACACACACACACACACACACACAGAGCATGTTTAGCCTTTATGTGCATGTTTAAAAGAATCGTTGACCGAAGGGTGGGGTGCATCGGTTGAATGGCATGGCATGGCACCGTGTGGTGTGGCATGGCATGGTACGACATGACATGGCATGGCTCTTGCGATCAGATGGGTACGGTCGCAGCAGAAGGCGGAGAAGGTGGCGGAGGGCAGCGATGCCTTCATCGTGCTGCGGCTGGACGGCCGAGTCAGGAAGTCAGGCACGGTGAGTCGCCGCCCGCACCTGCAGCTGCTTGCGTGCTTGCTCTCATCACGTCGCGTCTCATGCTTTCATGCCTTCATCGTGCTGCGACTGGACGGCCGAGTCAGGAGATCCGGCACTATGAGTTTGCCGCCCGCACCTGTGGCTGCTTCATTTGCTTGTTCCAATCTCGCCTCTCCCCAGCTGAATTAAGCCATGATAATGAGTTATTAATCCTCTGATGGTTTCTTCTGTCGCTACTGCTTCTCCCTGCCATCGCGTGTGTCGTCTCTACTTTCTCACTCTCGTACTCCCTCTCTCTTTCACTCTCCCCTCACTATCACTCTCACTCTCCCTCACTCTCCCTTGTATCTTCCCTCAGGGCATGCCTGACTGGGCGGATCTTATCAACGAGCTGCCTCCTCTCGACAGCCTAGTCAGCAAGCTTGAGCGCTGATTGCCATCCCGCTTGCCGCTTGTTTGCTCAAGGAGGCATAACAATGCAGATGTAGTAGTTCAAGTGTAATAATACTGTTAGCTACAGTGTGTTATTGAGAATGTGCTGTTAGAGTGGATTTCCATACGCTGGTGCACGGGTTTACTGTCAGTTTAATCTAACTTCAGGTGGAAGTGGCACCCTCAGTCGTAGAAGCTTCAAAATATTTATTAAACATTGCATAAAAGATCCAGCTTCAGTCACTTTCAGGATTTTTAACCCTTGCCATGCTTGCCACACATCTGTTTGTGATGTGTTGTTTGCATGCACTTGATAGGAAAAAGCTTTGCTATAAATTCAGTCAAATATAGATCTTCATAGTCCATCAGAAGTGAGAACAGCTACTTTATGTGGATGTTAATGTGTGGAAGGCTAGCGGTTATGTACACGACAATCGAAACGCGGATATATGTCGGCATCCCGCCAAAATGACCGATTAGCCAGTCAACTCCCAAATTCATATTGTTGCCTGACACCAGTCAAACAGCGTGCTGACGGCAGTCATGCCATCTGCCTCGTACATGGCATGGCACCTCTTCTATGTACAGTTTTCAAATTGTACCTGTGTGGAGCCATCATATCATCGCACAACCATGATGGCGCTGTAACTCGCTTCGCCTAAACCTTCATGTTTCGCACATGGAGAACTCCCGCGAACTGTCCGACAACACGCGCGCCAGCTCAAAACTTCTCGCGCTTCTTCCAGCATTCACAGGGGACTTTCTCCCGCCGCCAGCCTGTCAGCGGAACCGTCCGTCGGCTTGCGCCTCTGGCCAGCAGGGACGGGCGGGGAGGCGAGGGGCCTCCTCACCACCTGGGCGCGAACGATGCCATGCCACCATCCCCATACAGTCATCCGATGGTGATTATGTCAGAACCAGCGAGAACGGGATAACACTCAGCCCTTTCGCCAAACGGTGTTTCTTGGCCTGTCAAGTTTGGCGAATATGCCAGTCGTCAATATCGCAGCTCCCCTCCCCACCATTCATCGTACATCGTCCGCCTGCTCCCCGAGGTTTCCCGCCCCGCCTCGTCAGCGCAACCATTTCGCAGTGACTCTGCCTGCGGCCTGCGCCACCTTGGGGTTGCACCAGAGCGGGGATTCCAGTGTCCATGGCGACTCGACTCGTGGCCTTCCCTCCTTCCCTCCGCCTCCAATCCCCTCCTTTTGGGCCAATTTGGGTCCTTTCTCTTTTGTAAGCGGTTGGGTACGATCATGTGCATTCAGGAGCGGTTACCCGCTTTACCTCCCTCAACCGTGTTTTTCGGAACCCTCACCTCCCGTTACTGCTCCAGACGCCTCGCAGTATGCCGACACACCTGAGTCACTTCTCTCGCTTACCTCTTTCTTTTCCTATTCCACAATTCCGCTAGCTTAGTCCTCCTCGACGAGTATCTCTCAGCCGATTACTTGCTAATTCGCTTTGTCCTAGTCCATGGCTTCTTCCAGTTGTCACTATGACCTTTCTCGCTCTCCTTCTTGAGATGTTCGTCACTAAGCCTTAGGCTCGACTTCAGCTGGACTCCGTTAGATATTGGTTTATATGGATCTCCTCCATATATGCATCAGCTCCCTATATTCGTCAAATCTGACGCAGATATGCATCAGATCCTTATATTCGTCACATCTGACGCAGATATTCATCAGCTCCCGATATTCGTCAAATCCAGATGCTTGACGGATATTTTAGTGCATCAGATCTGATTACTGAGCATCACGCTTTCGACGCGCTTCAGCTCTTTCGTAAGAAGCTTCCTTGTCGCAGATATTCATCAGCTCTCGATAATCGTCAAGTCCAGATGCTCGACGGATATTTTAGTGCGTCAGATCTGATTACTGAGCATCACGCTTTCGACGCGCTTCCGTGTCTCAAAACAACGTTCGCGTCGGTCGTCCGAAGAACACGCAGTCTGCAACATATCGACAGATGATTCGCTCCACGCAGTCTGCGACGTAACGACAAATGATTCGCTCCACGCAGTCTGCGACGTAACGACAGAGTTTTCACGGCGAAATAAAGACGCGGTTTCTCTCGACTCAAAAGGCGACGCTTGACGCGTTCGCTGCGAAGGGGATCTGATGCTGGATGCGTTCGTGAAGCCGTCAGCGTTCGAGTCAGCTCTCGCGATATTACGTCACGGAGAAGCCGGATCAGCGCTCGATGATACTTCCCTCGTGTGCATCACGAAGATCTGATGCTGGATGCGTTCGCGAAGCAGTCAGCTCTCGCGATATTACGTCACGGAGAAGCCGGATTAGCGCTCGATGATACTTCCTCGTGTGATGCTGGACGCGTTCGCGAAGCAGTCAGCTCTCGCGATATTACGTCACGGAGAAGCCGGATCAGCGCTCGATGATACTTCCTCGTGTGCATTACGGGGATCTGATGCTGGATGCGTTCGCGTCTGCGCAAGCCATGCGGATTGAGCTGCGCGGATGTTGCGGTTCAGCTGCGCGGATGGTGCGGTTTAGCTGCGCAGATGATGCGGTTGAGCTGCGCGGATGATGCGGTTGAGCTGCGCGGATGATGCGGTTGAGCTGCGCGGATAATGAGGTTGAGCTGCGCGGATGATGCGGTTGAGCTGCGCGGATAATGAGGTTGAGCTGCGCGGATGATGCGGTTGAGCTGCGAGGATGATGCGGTTGAGCTGCGCGGATGATGCGGATGAGCTGCGCGGATGATTCGGTTCAGCTGCGCGGGTTGACGGATGCAAGTTGAACGGACGGATGCAAGTTGAACGGACGGATGCAAGTTGAACGGACGGATACAAGTTGAACGGACGGATGCAAATTGAACGGACGGATGCCATCCTCGTGTCATCACCGCCTGTCGCGGCGTTGGGCGAACGGCTGAGGAAGCAGGGTCAGCGGGAGTCACTAGTACACTGGGTAAGTTCCCACTCTTAATTAGTCCCTTATTCCGTCCATTACTCGAACCCTAATCCCTCCTTTACTCTGTCTAGCTTCCGTTGTTCCTGTTTTCCTTTACTCTGTCTAGCCTTAGTTCTGCTTCCGCTGTTCCTGTTTTCCTTTACTCTGTCTAGCCTTAGTTCTGCTTCCGCTGTTCCTGTTTTCCTTTACTTCGTCTGCTTGATGATGTTTTTCACAATTCTGTTTTACTCACTCTCTTTGCCTTGCCCTGTGTGCCTTGTCCGAGCAGAATGTGGGGGAGAGGAGAGGAGAGGAGAGGAGTCAATAAAGGAGCAGCAGAGGTCTCAGGAGAGGAGAACTGGAGCGAGCACAGAAGGTGCTCCTGGCGCTGCTGGAGTGCTGCTGGCTGATCCTGGCGCTGCTGGAGTGCTGCTGGCTGATCCTGGCGCTGCTGGAGTGCTGCTGGCTGATCCTGGCGCTGCTGGAGTGCTGCTGGCTGATCTTGGCGCTTCTGGAGTGCTGCTGGCTGATCGGTGGAGCATCAAGGCATCTCGTGGGCAGCAAAGCAACTGGGAAGTGTCTTTCCCCTCGCCTTCCCTTCTCGTCACCCTCCATTCGTTTCGTTTCGTCACTCCATGTTTTCCACACCTCGTTCTTCACTCCATCGTCCTGCATTTCGCGTTTATGCACGTCCCTCTGATCCGTTTGGCTGCAGCTTAGTAGATGTCCTCCGCGGGTTTTGGGTAGCATAGATTTTGGGTTGGGTAGCATAGATTTTGGGTTTTGGGTAGCATAGCTCCTCCCTCTGCTAGCTGCAGCCAGCGTATCATGGACGTGCATCCATCCCACCACCTCACCTCGTTTCCCCGTGTTCTTCTCCGCTTTCAATTTCGCACTTCGTTTCCGCTTTCAATTCCGCATTTTGTTTCCTTGTGTTTGTATTGCTTTCTTTTCCATTTCGCAGTTCTGTTTACTGATTTCGTGCATCTGTTTGTGCGTTGCCTCCATCCACCTGTTTTCCAGCAATCGTGGGTTCTTCACTCCAGATCGGTTCTTCACTCAAGCATGCGCCGAGCGGAGGAGCAAAGGAGCCTGCAGAGAACGGCAGTAGTGACTCGGGGGGGCGGCAGCAGTGAGAGGGAGAAGCGAGCGGTGGGATGACGCACGGCCGGCAGCCACACGGCTGCCTCCTACCCGCCCTGCTGACCACCCGCTCTGCTCGAGGCGGTCGCTTCGGGCAACGAGCCGGCGCGGAGGCAAGGAGGCGGCACTTCAGCAGAGATGTAGTGCGGTGTGGAATGGTTTGGTGTGGTATGAGGAGGAAGCGGACACTTCGGGCAACCGGCACGGAGGCAAGGAGGCGGCACTTCAGCAGAGGTGTAGTGCGGTGTGGAATGGTATTGTGTGGTATGAGGAGGAGGCGGACACTTCGGGCAACGAGCCAGCGCGGAGGCAAGGAGGCGGCACTTCTGCAGAGGTGTAGTGCGGCGTGGAACGGTATGGTGTGGTATGAGGAGGAGGAGGACACTTCGGGCAACGAGCCGGCGCGGAGGCAAGGAGGCGGCACTTCAGCAGAGGTGTAGTGCGGTGTGGAATGGTATGGTGTGGCATGAGGAGGATGCGGCACTTGAGGCGAGGATGCGGCCCGCCCGGCAAGGGGTGAGGCGGAGGAACGTGAGGGAGTGGTTGATGGGTTGGACGAGGGGATGCATGACTGGGATGCTGTGGGAATGTGAACGGAGAGTAGCGTTGGGAATGTGAGGCGGAGAGGGTGGGGCCACCTCTCGTAAGTCCTCACGGCGGCCCCGCCCATCGCTGCTCCACGTCCTCATTCTTCAGCACTGCCCTCCAGCACCTCCTCTTCCAGCTTTGACGCCCAACCCGACCTGCACTCTTCCAGCTTTGACGTCCTCATCCCCTCAGCTTCCCACCGTCGATGGAGGCGCACGGGGAGTCTACAGCATCACCGACACTGTAAGTCTCTGGTTGGTACGGGGAGTCTACAGCGTCACCAACATGGAGTGGAGTGGTGTGGAGTGGTGTGGTGTGGTGTGGTGTGGTGTGGTGTGGTGTGGTGTGGTGTGGTGTG